TGTTAGTTCCAGTTGAATCGGTAAGATTGTTATCCTTAAGCATGAGATGACAATTCTTCAATCGGTAAGACTTATCATCCTTCCAATATAATTAGGAACCTTTGAATCGGTCAAGCAACAAATTGAACTTCTACGTAAGATAGCGTACATACATAATATAAAACAATATCAACCTCAAAAGTTACGGTGCTAGAAGGATTTGCAGGTTGCTTTAGTGTCACTACAGAAACCGATCCACTTCCTGACATTATGCATAAAGCTCTCGATCTCTGTTGCGCAAATGCCAATATTTTTGCTGAAATATCCTGCATGAAATTAGAATTTAATACTACTTAGGCATCATCATAAATATTTTACTGTTGCATTTCACCAGGAAAGGAAAAAAATGACAGATTAATGACTTACATCATAAATATTTATTGTTTCCCGTCTAAAACAACAAAAATGGTAAAAAGAAACCAACCAACCGGGGAGAAGATCAAATTGTATATAATATTAGGGGATGAAAACAGATATATAAAGCTTGTAAGCTTTTACAACCAGGATTTTCTCAACCATGCATCATATTCATCCAAAGTTTTATTCGTCGTCGTCACTAAACGCTTAGTTTAAAGAAAAGGGCACAATAGTGATAATTACAGAGATACTGTTTAGACCATACCTCTCCAGTTCCTATGTGAAGAACATGGGGGGTAAAAGCCTGTCCAGCTGAGCTAATCATCCAATCGCCTGAATCAATTACAAGAATTAACATGGAAAGTTATCTAAAATGGACACGAATCGTCGTAGTGAACAAAACAAATTGTTCTCGACTGGGTGCTAAAAAACTACTAATAAAGACCGAGACTATCACAAAATAATCACATTCTTGAGAAGCGTAAGATATCAAATCTATGTAGCAATGAAAGACTTATACTTGCAACAACACAGAGGTAATGCATCTAAAACAAAATTATGTTCTTAATCTTGTTCATGAGCTATATTTACTTAAATTACTTTAATTTCATTTTTAATAAAAAAAACAAGCTTAGCAAATTCTTACTTACATCAAACTCAAATGGCCCAAGTCACAAATCTCACAAACGTTATCGATTGTAACATTGAAGACAAACGACTACAATTTAGAAACTTAGAAAGTTTGTGATACATTCCAAGCAAAAAGTAACATACCAAGAGGAGCAAGTTTCTGTTTCCACCCGGTCCCGGGCGGCCTCCCTCGTCTTGCTTTCTCCCCCAAAGTGTTCGGATCGGACGACGAGGGCATTTTTGGAACAGGTGACGACAATTTCAAAGACACCTTAGGAGGAGGCCCTTCGGGCCCGTACTTCCTCGGCCTACCCCTCTTCTTCTTCAAGGTCTCGATACCGCAGTGAGACCCACCAGACGCAACAAGGCTCATACCCATCTCTCGAGTGTAATTATGATTATCACCACTATTGTTATTATTATTACTATTATTATTATTATTATTATTATTATTATTATTATTATTATTATGAAATGAGTTCTCAACATGGAACGCTGAGGATCCACCTACAGCATTCCCAGTCATCCCTACATTTGGGCGCAAGGTGATGTTCGGGTGGCTAGAGAGATTTGCGTAAACAGGCTGTGGTGCCGGTAGACCCACTCCCGGACCACGAGCATCGTGCCTCGGCCCGGGCCCTAAGCCACCAAGCCCACCTCTATTGTTGAGGTAGTACGAAGATGAGCTTTGTGCAGTCATCCCTTCTCTCCCATCCATTCATTTACTTCTGGGCAAAATTGCACTAAAAATTCAGTATTTTTTTCAACCTTAAAGTACTTTTTCTTGAAAAAACAGAAAGAACTAGTCTTATGCACCTTTGAAGCAAATCTGAAACCGACCCACCAAATAAAACAAGATAAAAACAAGCTATAGAACAGAATTAAGGCAAGACAGCAGGAAAAAATTCAAGCTTTATTGGAGGGTTTCAACATTTCAAGCGTTATGGGGGCCAAAAAGATAATAAAAATACAAGCTTTTGGTCTTAACCTGGCAGAGATACTTCGAACTTCAAAGCACAAGACAGAAGAACTCCAAAAAGATTGAATCCCGGACAATTGAACATCAAAAGCAAAAATCACAGCTTATTCTGAAAATGTATAGAAAAAAAATAAAAATCCCATCTTTACCTAACCAATCAAAGCTCTCAGCCTTAGAATTCAACAGCTAGTTTCAACTACGACTGACAACAGTGAAGAGAAAACGAAAAGGGAAAATGAAACCCTAGATTTAGCATGTGGGACACTGAGAGAGAGAGAGAGAGAGAGAGAGAGAGAGAGAGAGAGAGTGGGAAATGGGGGAGGTTGGGGAAAGAGGAGCTGAGGGAGAGGGTAAAGACAAAACCAAGATGAAAGTGAAATATTTGAGCTTTTGAATTAAACGCTAAGAGAAAGAGGTTGGCTCAAGTGGTAAGCATTTTGATGTAGCTTAAGCAAGGTTTTGGATTCGAATTTTTGTGGATGCAAAAAAACTTTGTTGGGAGACTCACCTACCACTGTCAGGTGTGCGACCTGGGTCGACCAATGGATTAGTCGAAACATAGCTCTGGTTACTGTGGCTGGCTAAAAAAAAAAAAAGGGAAAGGTCAACTTTTTATACTTAGAAAAGGCGAAATTTCATTTTTAGTGTTGCAGGTTTAACTAGCATTTTTTGTGAGAAGATTTCAACTTTTTGCTTTTTGATCATGTAATTTAATATTGTACTGCAATTTCAGTCATGTGGGTTGAAATTACAACAAAATTTAGAATTACAAGACTTAAATTGATAATCGAAAATGAACCCTAAATATTTTTTATTAGCAATTTAAGTCCTATAATTTAGATTTTTGTTGTAATTTTAGTCATCAAATGACTGAAATTGTATTGAATTTTTAAATCACATGACCAAATAACAAAATGTTCAGATCTTTAGACTAAAAACGTCATTGGGTCAAACTAACAAGACTAAAATTGTAATTTTGTCTTTACAACATTAGAGTATAAGAGCTAAGCCAATGCATTTTTAGTAAAAGCTATATATTTATGCTATAAAAATATTATATTTTTGTTTAATATGATTTTAATTTTAATAAAGTATATTTATCTAACTGTTGGATCTATCAATCAGCAATTGTGATGTTTTTATTTTTTTTAATAATATTAAAATAACATTAAACACTTTTATTTATTTACTTATTTATTTTTTGATTTGAACTTTAAGATAATATAATAATCGTTTAAAGAACAACAAAAACTTGGAGGGTGGATTAGCTAGGACTCGTGCTACAGTGAGTTAGTGCCATACATAATGGGAGATGCTAAAGTGCCGTTGCGGAACTATTTTATCGAAGTTTGTAACCGTTAGATCAACTATATCCCCAAAGGTTACATGATGATATAACGGTTACAAACTTCGACGGAATGATTCCGTAACGAGACTGTATTATTTTCCTAAATAGTGATACGGAGTTTTACATAATAGTATTCGTCACAGTTAATCTTTTATACATCACATTATTATTAGATCAACAACGATTATGTATACACATTTTGATGACATAAAGTTTTACACAATAGTATTTGTCACAGCCAGAATGTTTTATACATCACATCATTTTTGGATCAATATACACACTTTTATTTTATTAATTCCTTATATCAAACATTTATATTAAAATTGCTTTACTTATTTTTATTTTTGATTTTTTTGTTTAGTTGAAGTTTGTGAGGATTCTTTTTTTTTTTTGTACAGGGACCTTCCGGTTTCTGGATCCACAGGGGAACCGACTAATCCGAAATCGAGCCGGGTAGGACCACAAGGGCGGCAAAGCTCTCCCTCAAGAGTTTTAACACTCCTGCATTCTCAAGGCTCGAACACGAGACCACTGGTTAAGCTGGAAGAGACCCAAGCTAGACCACTGGTTAAGCTGGAAGAGACCCAAGTCATTACATCCAAGCGCTCTTGGGTTTCTTTTTCTTGTGGATTGTGAGGATTCTAACACTTTATAGTGTCTTAAAAGAAAAAAGGGGGTTTGAACTTTGAAGCCACTTGGAGAAAGTTTAGTATTGGGTGCACCTAATAAAGGCTAAAGTACCACCAAACACGTCCTTATCAAAACAGTGCCACATCACATTTCCGAAGGTATGTGTGTTTTCATGCTTGCAAGAGTATGTCGATTGTAGACTTGTAGAGGCATTGCGACAAAAACACTTATCCAAAGATGAGTGTTTTACTTCTACATGTAATGATGTAGGGGCGAAACTAAACACACTCGGAAAGGCGTCGGTCCTTCCAAAAAAAAAAACAATTTTCGAACTAGGGGTGGGAGTTCTGGAACTGGAAGGGCGCCCTTTGAGCGCCCTTCCGATGCCGGAGTGGGGGTGGTGCGCCGCGGGATGGCTGGAGGGGCGCCACGGGAAATCCGGAATCCGAAAACACAGAGCAGCTGAGCAGGGAGGCATGGAGCCATGGAGGGGAAACTAGATCGGAGAAAATTTGTGTTTGTGTTTGGTTTTGTTGTGAATTTTTTTTTTAAAGGCAAATTGGGCCCTCCCCGAAATGGAATCCTGGTTTCGCCACTGTGATGATGTGACATTAAGGAGACAAAAACAATCTCGAAGTCTTTCTACACGTAAAAGTTCTTTCAGACTTGATGAGTAGTTTTTTTCTCCTATTTAGTTCTTTTACTTTTAATTAAAATATACAATTAAGTAAAGAAAGAGGAGTATTTGCCAAAAGCACGAGTAATTTTATGCGGGAAATACTCGGCCGGTGTTTTGATGAATATCAGCTGAGTGTTTGATAAGTGGTAGCGAATTCCTTCGAAAAATAAATATTGGGGTTGATATAATATGAAGCTATAATCAGTACGAAAATAATTTATAGTATTTTGTTCATGTTTATTCTTAAACTGTGCAAATTGACAAAGGTGTGCAATATATATTATTGAATTTATGCTGGTTTTGGTCGGCTTTTTTTTTTTAGAACAACAAAAAGAAAAGATAGAGAAAGAAAAAACAACATTTATGGTGTATACACATTAACCAAAAATATTGTGATTTCATATTGGTTCAAAGTTTGTTCGACATTTTGTCTGCAAGTTTTTTTACCTTTTTTTAGAACAACAAGAAAAAAAAAAAAAAAAAAAAAAAAAAAAAAAAAAAAAAAAAAATTGCCCACATATACCATTGGAGAACTATTTATGAACATGACAGTCTATTTTGTCCACATAATGACATCTATTTCATTGTCATTTAAATAACAATTCATTTCCACCAAGACGAAGAGGGGTTAGCGCAGTGGCGCGTACCTTCGCTCGGCGTGTACCATGTTCCGAGTTCAAATCACCCGGGGGGGAATTAGGGAACCAGTATCGATTCCCCTTTCAAAAAAAAAAAAAANNNAAAAAAAAAAAAAAAGAAAAAAAAAAACAATTCATTTCCACCAATGGAAATACTCTAATGTCATGTAATATGTATTCTAAACAAAATATCATGAATTATGTGTTCCTTTTTGCTGGATTTAAATATGTGTAAAAGGTATAGTTGGATTTTCACCTAAAACTTTAGTAAATTTTGAAGTTACCTTTAAGACTTGTCTAACAAGAAGTCACCCATTAGCAGATTCTATTAGTTTTCTGACCATCAAATTATATTATATTATGGTCGCTGTTATCGGATTCTATTAGTTTTTTTTTCTATCAACAAATTATATTAGCTATTTTGATCAATTGATACATTAGCAAAATTCTGCAAAAATGTTTAGTAAATTAACAGTTTGATGTTAGTTGTTACAATAAAATTATTTATAACTATGTTGGGGTATTTTGATATTTTTACAAGTTCTATACAATGTTTATCCAAAACTATTCAATTTTTATATCACAAAAAAAAAAGAAATAACTATTCATATTGTTTAAGGAAACAAAATTGTTTTATCATATTTGATTTGATCTTATTTGAATATGTGTATATAAAAGCAATTAGTGCATATATTTGAAAAAAAAATCTAAAAAAATGTATGCATTAAATGCTCATAAAATTTTTTACTATTCCCTTTTATTTTTAATAAGTGTCGTTTTGAGAAGTTGCACAGTAATTAAGAATATTTTTTTTTTTTCAATAATAACCCTCATTAATGAGGATAGAGATGAATGTTTTGAGAAAAATAAAGAGTGAATATGAAAAGACGTAGTGTATTTATTAGCCAATTGAGGGTACTAATGAAAAAATATATACAAAATATCCAAAACGATATTTATTTTGTTAATAGTTGCTAATGTAAAAATAACATTTAAAAAGAATAAGATGTAGTACTATTTTTCGTAAGACCTTCTCCAACCGAACGCCATATCTCATTTTTTGCAGCAAAATTGCTCCACCCGAACTCCATATCCGATCGCAAAATGCGTTACCCCTCTTCTCTCTCCTCAATTTGCTGCAAATTTGCGTCCAGACGCATTCTAATGCGTTCAATCTTTTTTTATTTCAATTTGGTCCTTCAATTTTATTTCTTATTTATAATTGACCTTATCATTTTAAAAATTAATAATTCAACTTATTTTTAATTTGATATACAATGCTAAGATAATATGAATTGGATAAATAATTTAAAACATACTAAAATTTTCTTTTTTTTTTAATTTCATTAAAATAATAAATAACATATTATTTTATGTTTGTTCACAATAGTGGTGTAAATATACATATTAATTTTATATTTTT